TGTCTATGCCAAAAACAAAAAATGAATATGAATTAGATTTTAGAATTAAAATATAATATTTCCACACATCCTCGAAAGATGGCGACTGCCAGAGTGCCAGCACAAACGTCGCATCCTAGATATCGAACTTTTTACATAACCCAAAAGATCGAGCCACATCAAACGACGTTGTTGGTTGTTGATTTGACCGATCAACTTTTAACTCGTGCTTGGAGATAATGATAAATAATGATTAACGCTAATAGTTCGAGTTTTAAAAATCAAAATAAACCAAGTCAACGTTTATCCTACGACGCGGCGATAAACGTACAGATGTAGGCATATCGATATTGGCATAAAAGAAAGTGAAAATGACGACAACGAACGAGAACCATGTTAAAGTAACGAACGAAAATAGGGCTATAAAAAACACGAAAAATGATACTCCTTTTTTGTATTTTTGTGCTGTTACAGGTGAGATTTAACTAAATATATTATTAATTATATTGCGGAACAAGTTTAGTTTGAGAAGTATTTACAAAGATAAGCGTAGGTCATTGACAACATCCAAAAATAAACGATGATGCTAGTCTAATATTTATTTGAGTTTGAAATAGTGTGTACTGTTATTAAAGTGTATATTATACAGCATGACCCAAAATTTCATTGTCAACGGTCTATGCAAATTCTCATTATATTTTTTTGTTTGTTTATTTATTTTTGTGTTTTTGGTTTTGTTTACATTTTTATAGAGCACTTCATTTTCTTCGTACCCTGCTATAGGGAGTTATACTCCTGTTACAAGTATCCTCCAGCTAACTTAGTTTAATATGAAAGGCTATACATATAATTTATATAAAATACATATACCTATTAACCTTAAATATTATTTGTTAATAGTAATTTATTCGAGGATTTATTTTTCAGAGATTTTATTTTTAATCTTGTGCTTTATTTACCTATTTTGCCCTAGGAATCTTCATTTCTAATCGTGCCATTTTTGCCGTTGATTTAATAATACCGATTTGAACCCAGCTAGCCACCGCAGGTCATTATGACGTGATTTTTTAGGCAGTTGTTACGTCTTATAGCCAAAAATATGACGTGTCATTCACGTGAAATATGACGTCAGTATGTCACACATTAAAAACGTTAATGTAAAGATTTTAAAATGATGTGATGCTTCTACGTCAATATGTTTAAAATAACGTGATGGTATCTCGTCAAAATGACGTATTATCTCGTGAAAATGACGTTATTTTTTGGAAAAATTATTCTAAAAATAATAGTCAATACAATTATATAAATAATGACTATTATATTTAATGAAAGTTATCAAAACCATGAGCAAAAAACTGTAAGAGAAATAAACATACACTGTAATGTAATAAAGGACAACATTTACATGTCTTAATTAAAGGTATATCAAAAGAGAAAATAATCCTCTTTCGTGTCATATCAACCCTTTGTGGTAAATTTAAGCAACACTTTGATGACGGCTTTCTATTTCCCTAGTTGTGGCTAAAGCTGATGTATAAATCTGTTTACAAATTAATAATCTGTAATGAATTGTGAAACTTCAAAATATAATTTTTATTTTGTTTTTAATATTTTTTTTAAGAAATTTCTTCAGTGTTTTATTCATTTTCTCTTCTAGAATCACGAGCTAATTTATAGTCGTACTAGGAAATTAGGTAATTAAATAATGATTATATATCTGATAATTGGTGTACCTAGTCATTATTTATTTCATATTTAACGATTTGTTTAATAATAAAACAGTTTTTTCAATTCAAATTGTGATTTTACATTGCGGACATGAATTCCAATCATAACAAAACAATTTGGGGCCCTGGAAAGAGACAGTGGAATTAAATGCAGGGTTGGACAATATATACGGGGTATTAAAGATAACAACATAATTCTAATAGGTAAGTAGAAAAACGCAGCAAAATAACCTTATACCGGAAAAAAGCCCATTCGCGGTTTTTAACAATAATTGTTACATTTTAGCAGTGGCGGTTTGCCCGTAAGGGCACTTGGGCACGTGCCCTAGTATAATAAACAAAAAAAATAACTTACATATTTTATATTTTCCTCAATGCCAATTATTATTTTATCTAATATTCAGCGCAAACCGCGTTGGCACGACACTGGACGACCGGGCGTTGAGCGACGTTCCAAGAATTCTGAAATTAAGTTGAAGATGGGCACAGGGCACAGTAAATGTGTGCCTCTGTTGTTTTATCTCTCATTATGATGCGAAAAACAAGGACAACAACAATATCGCTTAGCATGAGATGAACACATGCGATGGATTATACGTCACAAGCAGGGCGCTGTCCTAGACTAAATATGAATGTACGCAGAGGCATCTTTACCGGCTGGCTCTCTCACAAAGGTGATATCGGTTTCGGCTGAAGGTGCGCGTTTGTTGGACCATGATAATAATTTATTTATTTATTGGAATAGTTAAGAAATAAAACTACAAAGAAAAATAACTTTGTTTTTATAAGGCAGTCAAAAATATGATGAAAAAAATCAATAATATTTATAAATGGGACAAAATTTTTATTTTTCTTTTGGTTTTGTCTGAATTTTTCGAGGATTTCAAATCTCTGTTTGCATATTAAAGAGTATAAAAAATTGTGAGTCTTGTAAATAATTTAATGGTGTACATTTTCGCAAATTTTTGGCAACGATGACCAAATTCTATTTTGCATATCTCAAAAAGGTATTCGTTGGAAATTACAGGCTTAGTTGACAAACTATCAAATAGAGATATAAATATTTTTTCCAATTTGAATATATAAAAGAGAAATTTTTCACTGGGAGATTTTAAATTGCCAAACACCTTTTCTTCAGAGTCGTATGCTTTAAAATGCGCTAACAAGTTAGAATTGTTAAGTAAAATGCATTCTTCTGAGAAATTTTCGCAAATTTCGCTAGAATGGATATGTAATGATTTTTTGATTAAATAGCCACATGCATAGTTAAATGCATTTTGAGTGGTCACATTTAGCTCCCTGTAGTCTGATTCAGAAATCGTTATTGCCCCAACTGATTGTTTTGAAATATATATAATTTTCATTAAGCGGAGAACTTGATTTCTTAAGGAAAAAATGAAATGATCGAATACATTTGATTGGCAATATTTGATCGAATGCATTTGACCGAAAAATGATCGAAAAGAACAATGATCGAAAAGAAAATTGATCGAAAAATCAAGTATACATCAAATTATAGAAATATAAGAAAAATGAAAATTTTTTTTAACTAATTTACCTAACCTATGCGGCCTAGAATCATCGTTAGTTGCTTCGCAAAAACAAATATACAAAAAATGAAAATATAAAAAAATTAACTAACATACCTAACTTTTTTATAATTATTTTGCGAGACAAACCGCGACGACTCCAGACCGCACAGGTTAGTAGGAAAAATGAAGACCGGGGAAATTGGAATAAAATAGCGGAAAACATTAGGAAAATAATGAAAAGAAAAGAGGAGGAAGAAAGGACTTCCAGGAAATGGGAAGAATATAAGCTTTATTCCGGCGTCTAATGAACTGATTAGAGGGCAGAGTCGGAACATCTTGGGGGGTACTTTATTCGTGGTCATTTTTACATTTTATGGAATATATCTATTATTTACGTATGGAGAAGAAAATTCTTTAAATAAAAGTTACTTACAATATTTTTATCAATATTTTTTGTTATATACCAAATTGTCCTAAAATGGTCCGTATTCGAGAAATTTGACAAAATTTAAAAAAATTATTTTTCATAAAAATTTTTCAAATAAAAGTTGTTTGTAATATAATTCTCTATAAAATTTTTATCGCTTACATAATTTCTCTAAAATAGACCGTATTCGAAATATTTAAGAAAATATGTAAATTTCGAATTTTGAAGAAAACTCAAAAACAGATAAAGGAAAAAACATTAAATTTTAAACTTAAGTTTAACTTCGGCTTAACGTGAAATGATTAGATTTTGCACAAAGTCGGAACAACTTTATGGGAAGTCGTTTTTATATTTTATGGAATATATCTGTTATTTATGTTTGGAGAAGAAAATTGTTTAAATAAAAATTACTTCTAATATTATTCCTGAAATGGTCCGTATTTGAGAAATTGGACATAATGTGCAAAATTCGAATTTTTAAGAAAATTGTTAAACTAAAAGTTGTTTTCGATATTGATCTCTATAATTTTTATTTTTACATGATTTTCCTAAAATGTACCATAATAGAAAAATTGGAGGAATAGTGCTAAATTTAAATTTTTCAGTATTTTCGTTTTCAATGAATATCTATAAAAAAATGTTTCGAGTTATATGTATGTGGAAAATGTATATATTTAGTTTATCCTCTAAACATTTATAGAGGTGCTGCAATAGGTTGTACAAAATAACCAGAAAAAGCCTATAATAATTAAATAGGAAAGTCATGTGTTGGACACATCAGATTTGTTTTATTACTGTAATATTTTAAGTAATAATCAACACGGATATTTACAAAAGAAATCTACCCAAACAGCTATATTCCAGTATACTCAAGACATAATAAAATCAGTGGAATAAAGGCCTACGACTACTAGACCAGACCGTAACATTCTGTTGACTAAACTATAAAGGTATTGTGTAAAAGGTGACACACTGAAGTGGTTTCAATCTTACTTGACGCGTAGATAAAAAAGAGTCCGTATGAGTAAACTTGTTAAGAGCTGTTCGTTTCACATCTGATTTAAGTTACCCTTAAATTTACTTGACAGATTAGCGAACAATAGCCTATTCGCTCCGTGCGCGACAGCAGCGCCAATTCGTTTTGGTAATAATGGACTATTTCTGCGTACACTGACAAATTCGTAATTAAAAAGTATATATGTTAGTTTTAATAAAAGTATATGGATTTGTAAAACAAGTAAAACATTAATTTATTATTATTATATATTTTGATCTCTTAATTTAAAGAAAATTATGTATAATCAATAAAAATGAATAATAAAATATAGGCAGGCAGCAGTATTTACTGGAAAATGTATGAGAAGTTGCCTAAGTCTAATAAGTTGTCATTGAAGAATTAGCCTGTTCTGCTGTCAAAATAAAAAAATTTAATAATAGCGTGAAGTTAAAATGTATAAAAAAAGGATCGTAATTTATATTTTCATTTTTGTTGGAAAGAAAACATAGAATGAATGATTAAAACTGGTTTCCCATCAGTAAGTCACAAAATTGCATTCCGCCACATATATTAATCAAAAAATAAAGGTAATTTTTCTTCTTATTGTACACCTATCCATTTATTTCTTTGATTTAATTTCCACTTTGCTACTAAATTTTTTTATATAAGTTTCACTGTTTTTTTTTGCTAGTATTTATACAATTTCAACACAGCAAGTCCGGTTGCCTATTGTATTGTTTTTACCTCCTTTTTAAAAAAAAAAAAATGTTTACGTGTATTTGATATGCCAAAATTACAAAATATCGCCCTAAAATACACGAATTATCCGCAGCTAGCGCTAGTATCGCTTTTGCTTCCCTTTCCATGACTTCGCACGGAGAGAATAGTTTAATCAGCAAGTACAATTATAATTGGCAATGGCCCCCTCCAAAAAATCGGCCTAGAGCCGCCCTTGCTTCACTTTATCATTAAAAAATGTACTAACAGGTTTAAAAAAGAAACTATACAATTACTATTAAACTTAGCACCCTATAGTGTCAATAGTTTTTTAAATAATCATTTTTAAATTCTGTTTGTAATTTATGGGAATATATGTATCAGTTTTTGTCTTTGACGCCATCTAATTATAATGTTGGTATATTTTTCTTCTATGTGTAAATAATGTTAGCATTTTCTAAAATAAAAATTAATATATTATCCCACTGGAGGGCGTTTGAGTCAAAACTAACTCAATGAACAGTCATATTGCCGAATTTCTCACAAAATTGCCTTTTTACAGATGTTAAATTCTCCATTTAAAATTTAGAATTAGAGAAAGTGGTAGGATGTCTATGTCTATATCGAAAATAGATGCTCATTTTTTGAAATAAAAGTCGATCTAATTTATTATTTTTTTTATTTAAATCTAATATTACTCTTAATATAAGTGTAAACTGTTTTCAATGGCCCAATCTTTGTTTAGTGATTTTTAAACGTAATTTAAAACTATTGCAACAACTTTGTTGCTGTTGAGGATGTGATGAACGGTGCTATTTTTTCTCGTCACTATTAATATTATTTTCTTCTATTTTCAGCAAGCTTATTGGTCTTCAGCGGCTGTTCCTGCATAGTATGGTCATCCCCAGTAATTCCAAAACTAAAATCCACGGATCCAGAAGAGAACCCTTTGGATGAACCAATCACATCATTCGAAATAGCCTTGATAACCGGTCTACCATCATTTGTAGCTATACTGGGCAACCTGTTTTTCGCCAAAATGCCAAGCGCTATCGGAAGAAAAAACACGCTGCTATTTCTGTCATGCGGCATGCTTCTGTCACTTGTCATTGTATCATTGGCTAGACATGTTTATGTTTACTCGGCAGCTTTGTGTTTTTTGTTTATATGTGTAGCTGGAGTTTACGTAGCGCTACCTTTATACCTGAGCGAAATATCAGAGGACCATAATAGAGGTAGGATAGTCAGTATAATGGGGGTATTAATGCCCTTAGGGAACCTGTATGGATACTTATTGGGTCCTATATTTAGTGTACCAATTTATACAATGTTTTTAGCTCTACCTTTAGTAATACAATTAATTCTAGTTGCTCTATTCTTACCTGAATCTCCTGTGTTCCTAGTCACTAAAAATCAAAGTACTGCAGCATTATTATCATTAATTAAATTAAGAGGTAATAAAAATGCAATAGAAATCGATGATGATTTAAAAAATATCGAGAATTCCCTAAAAGACACGCAAGAAACTTTAAAGAAAAATGGTTTACTGGATTTGTTCAGAAGCAGAAGTGTTAGACGGGCTCTAGTAATATCGTTGGTAATAAATATGACTCAACAGTTGTCAGGAGTTATCAGTATCTTGAAATTTTTAGGCCCCGTATTTAATGAAGTCAGCGAAAATTTTTCCGGAAACAATGTGGCTATTTTAGTAGGTACTGTTAAGTTTGTTAGTTTCTTTATTTGCTCGATGGTCGTAGAAAAAGTAGGTAGGAGACCACTATTACTGGCTTCCTCTTTAGGAAGTGGAATATCCCTTCTTCTAATTGGTTTATTCTTCTTCCTGAAACATCGTACTTCTATTCTTACTAGTAGTATAACATGGTTGCCGATTTTATTTGTTGTTATTTTTAATTTTATGTATGCTTTAGGAGTTGGAACTCTGTCGATAACTGTGATGAACGAAGTTTTTCCTACTAGTATTAAAGCTATTGGTTCTGCTTCTGTTTTTACATTATGTTATCTTCTGGGAGCATCGCAAGTATTCTTATTTCCAATTATTACTGAAAATTACGGGGTGCATGTTTGCATTTGGAGTTTCAGTTTTTGTTGTTTTCTTGGATTCTTTTCTATGTTGGTTTTGTTGCCTGAGACTAAAGGGAAGAGTTTTTTGGAAATTGAAGAATTGTTGGGGAAGTAAGGAGTCCATTTAGACAATTTACGCTTTGGAATCAAATTTTTGACAGTACAGTTGATCAGATTAGTGAAGTTTGGAGGATACAAAATGCTGAGAAACTGAGAAAAAATCATGAAAATTACGCCAGAAAACTTTTTTATTATGTGACATGATATTTTACAAAAATATGAAAGAAATGTTGATATGAGCAGTTATTTAAGCAAGGTTATCTTCTGTGTTTAATTTAAAGTTTTTTATTTGTAAATACGTGTTATAAATAAAGATATGATTATTATTTTACTGTTTATTCATTAATTATTGCATAAATATATTATATACAGGATCGTATTTTGAGGGGTACAAATTGTCATAATTTTTCATACTTTAGATTTCAATCCCGGTCAGCTATATGTCGACGGTGGTGTATGTGGTTTTCCGTGTTTTCCTAACCTGGGAGCCTATTCTTTAACTATGGGAAAAAGCACTAGCGAATAAGCTGTGATTTGACCTTGCTGCGCTTGTCACTCGACTAAAATTATAAGGAATCATGTCAACAACGAGAGCAATATTGCAAGACATACCATAATTATAGTGTATTATTATTTAGGTTAGTATTGTTTTTCCGTTTATATTTTTGAGTGTAAAATATTATGTATGTAATGTCATTCTGAGATTGTCATATTAAATATAAATCTTACAATCGAATATTATTTAGTTGGGTAAATACCACATTTTCTGGCGATTGTGAAAGCGGACTGATTCTGATTCGGGAAGATGGATAGCATTATAAGAATTCAACAGGAATTTAATTCGAACGTTAATGACTGGTCAGTGCACTGGAAACGATTGTCTCAATTTTTTTTGGCTAATAAGATTACAGAGTATAGTCAGAAACGAGCAATTTTGCTTAATAGTCTGCATCAAGATGCATATAAACTTTTGGAAACTCTTTGTGTACCTAAAGAACCGGAAAAATGTGAATTAGAAAATATTGTTACAAAACTTGATTTTCTCATTAGGAAAAATGTGTTTTTGTTGAAAGGTTTAATTTTTATGATGCAAATAAACGTATATCTGAAAGTGCACAGGAATGGTTCGCACGTATTCAAAAATTGGCAATGTATTGTGAAGGGTCAACTTTCGTTTAGCCGAAATCAGTTACGTAAAAATTGTTGCCATGGCAACCGTTGCCATGGTAACCAGTAAACAAAAACCCAAATCTCGTGGTGAGGAAATACATAATTGCCAAGTTATAGATTATTTAATTTAAAAATGTTGCCATGGGAACGCTTGACATAGTTACGACTAAACAAAAAGCCAAATCCCATTGTTAGGAAATGCGTGGTTGCCAAATTACAGATGATTCAATTTAGCTGTAATGAGTTAAGGAGAGACTCTTGCCATAGAGACACTTGTCATGATAACGACTAAACAAAAACCCAAATCCTGTGGTAAGAAAATGCATATTTGACAAGTTACAGGTCATTTAATTTTCACTTTAGTTTAGCTGAAATCGGTTATGAAGATGTCGTAATGTCAACTAAACAAAAACCTAAATCTAGTGGTGAGGAAATGCGTAGTTGCTCCTTATATTTAGAGAGAGAGAGAGAGAGAGAGAGATATGCTTTATTGTCGTAAAAAAATTTACAAAAATTTTATAGACAAAGCGTGTAACTTAAATACTAAACATATTATAAAAATAACTAAACAGCAGAAAAAACAAACAGAAACAAACAGACAAAATAGGAATAACAATTGCAATGGATATGCAATATCCGTCATTATAATTATTCTAATTTAATTTTTAAATTTAAACTTTAATATTTAATTATTTAATTAATGCCATTGTATGTGGAACTCAAATGTCTAAGGTACGTTATAAAATTCTGCTACTGTGTAATATGGTCTTTCTAGAAGAAAAGCTTTAGCCAGTCTTCGGAACTTATCGTATGTATTTATAGATTTTAAATTGCATCGGAAGGTTATTATACAATTTTTTGGCATTGTAGGTAATGGAATGTTTTAATAGGTCAGAAGTGGGCATTGTTAAATAAACATCAGTCTCTAAATTTCTTGTAGGATATCTACGAGTCGGTCTTTCGGATAAATTTTGAATGTGCTTGCGAACTAAGCAGACGAATTCGAAAATAAATAGAGCAGGAAGGGTTAGAATTTTGAAATTTTTGAAGTAATTTTCGCAATGTGTCCTACTACTTAAACCAAATACATAGCGCATTGCTCTTTTTTGCAGTTTAAAAATAGATTCGAAGAGGTATAAGCTATAAGAACCCCAGAAAGGTAAACCATAGCGAAGGTGAGATTCGAATAAGGAAAAGTAGGTTATTAATGCAGTAGAAGGAGTCAGCTCTTTAGAAACCGATTTAATGGCAAAACATGCGGAGGATAATTTTTTTGCTAAGGTATCTATATGAGCAGACCATTTTAGAGAATCGTCTATATAAAGACCTAAAAACTTGATTGAAGTCACCGTTTGGATCAGATTATTGTTTAAAGTTATAGGTTGTAAAGTACCTCTGTAAGACAATGCTACAGTTTTACTGGTGTTGAAACAAAGTCCATTCGAATCACGCTGCGTTCCTCCCACCCTCCCCCTAACTACTACAGAGGAAAGCGAGCGAAGCAAGCGCGCCCGGCCGACGTTTCAAAATTCGCGTGCGCAAATTTTGCTCGTTCCATCCACCTACTAACCACTACTTGGCAACTACGCATTTCCTCACCACGAGATTTGGGTTTTTGTTTAGTCGTTAGCATAATAAGCGTTTCCATGGCAACAGTTTCTTCATAACTGATTTCCTCACCATAAGATTAGGGTTTTTTACTCATAGCCATCACAAATGTTATTATGACAACAGTTTTTGCATAACAGATTTCGGCTAAACGAAAGTTGGGCCATTGTGAATTTGGTACCGCATTTGATACAAAATTGTGTGACAAATTTATCACTGGCTACAATCCAGGAAAAATTAGGAATAAACTGTTCAGTGAAAGGGTTTAACTGAAGAAGCAGCCCAGGCAGGTATTTTGGAGTGTGGTAATGCGTTGAAAGAAGAAATGAAAGCTGAAATGGATATAAATCGAATTTCAAAAGGTACTAAAAGTTCCTTAGAAAATCAAGGTACGTCATCGATTTCGTGATTATATTTTTAATAGATGTTCTGTTAAAGGTCATCTGGCTTCGGTCTGTAATAACAAAGATAAAAAAATTAATTATTTGAATGAAACTCCATCAGAATCTAGTAATATAGATAACACAAATGCAAACGAAAGGGATTCTCCTATTCTCTGTTTATTCCAGAAGTCAGCTAAGCCTATAGTTATAAATGTTGAATTAAATAATTTTTCGTTAAAAATGGCGTTAGATTCTGGAGCTGCTATGTCCATATAGCCCAAGAGCTCACTGCAAATTTTTACCGTCATCTGATAACGAAATGAAATATACCCCAAAAGCATGTAAAAATATTGTACTTTACCAAATGGCACCTGTGCCAATCCCAATCCTGAGCAAAGGGGTTCAAAAAAAATATTTTATATTAAAAATTAAAAGGCAGGACAGCGCTAATTTCTTTTGCCCTTAAAGTTTTCCAGAAAATAACATATTCAAATATGTCTTGATATATATGGTTAAAGAAAAACATTTTCTTCCTCTTAACATCGCACAAAAATATCTATCTACGATTGAATGTAATAAGTGTTATTCGTTTTTAGTGCATTTCAATAGGCACGTGTGGGCGCCACAGTGTCAAATATCACCTCGCTATGCGGCTTGATTTTGTTGATCAGCTTTGTTCTTCCAGTTTAATATAAAAGGCATTTCTTTATAAGCTTACTACAACATACTTGGTTACAGTATTGTGGTTACTGTGGTGACATTACGCATACCATGGTTTCCCTATTATTGAATGTCATATGTCAAATTTAATTTAAGTTTGGGGCAGTGGCGGCTCGTGGTAATTTGAATTGGGTGTTCACTTTTTCCAATAATTTGATCATTTTTGTAAGTTCGGCCCAAAACTTTGTAAAAGAGCCAATATCGCTGTTTTTATTATTATTTGAGTTTGTATTAAATGTATTTATTATCAACATCATACTATTTTCAAGCACTATATAAAAAAAGTCTCCCAGAAATTAATTGTTTACTCTTGTTTGAATAATTTTTAATGAACTAATTTTTTTTCCTTATGTGGGACATCCTGTATACATCTAACAAATTTTAAATTGTAGCCGTCTGTAACCTACGTATTCCTCCCAAACGAATTTTTTATATCTTTGGTCGTTTTCCCATAAAGCTCCGTCCCGTTGAGCGTGAGCCACCCTGTATATAAGGTTATGTAGAAAGCTTGACATTGATTTTTGTGTAAAAAATATTATATGAAACTTTACCTACCATTTTTCAGTTTTTATTGTAAATTTGATCATTTTCACATTTTGTCACACATGTCAAATAAAAAATATATTTTTTAAATACCTTTTAAAATAATAACTTTTAAATAAAATAAAAACTAAAATGTTTTAAATGTTTATTTTATGAGATCAGTCCCATCACAATACATACTATTACACAAATACAAACTAGAATAAAGATATATAATGCCAGGCATTCTAAATGATACTTTTCGCAGTTTAACAGACTCCTTTAACTACCCATTTTCTACCAGATTGTTTTCACAATCAATACCTCATCTCCTTATAGGGCTTGATTTTTACTAAAAATGTTGATATCGCTTTTCATTTTTGATTTTTTGTTTTTAATTTTAATTTCAACCCCCCTTAAATCCCCCATATTTAATTAGATTTTTTTAATTAAAGGTAGTGGTGGCTCGTTATAATTTAAAATATTAATTCCTCGATTAATACAGTGTAAGAAAGAAACATCAAGTTTAAATTATAGAAATAATGCAAAATCATGCTTACCTAATATGAGATAATTCCCTAACACCCGTTTTTGTCCTTTCTGATTTAGTATTTTCATTGTTTGCAAAAACTAAACAAGGAAAACAAAACAAAGCATGTTGTTTATCACACCCGCATAACCACGAAGTTTTTTTATATTGTTCAATCTTAAAAGGATGTTTAAACTTTCTATTTCTTATGGCACATTCTTGAACAATGTTTATCTCCGATTGAGGTGGGCCATTCTTTTTTGTAAGCACTCGATTTTCGAAATTATGTCTATTTGTTTTTATAAATTTTACCAAATACGATTCCATCGTACATA